CCTAGAGAAAAACCCGAATCTAAGACGGTTAATAGAAAGTAATTAGTTGCAAAAAGACAATATGGTATACAGCTAAACCCCTTCCACCATAATGAGAAATGACCAGACCCTAAAAGATGACGAGAATTTTAATTATATCATCATGATAAAAAACGGTGGAGAAACGCCGAAAGATAAAATGGCAATAATAAAAAACATACGGACGGTTTTGACCACCGCCAGGACCCAAAGAAGAAACATGTCTATTTGTTTGACAAATGGTAATGTAAACGATATTAGATTAAGAAAGCTGCTTAAATATACATGTAGAAAAATGGATTCCCAGACGAAGATTCGTATAAGCAGACATAGAACGTATAGCACAGCTAGGAACGACATAACATACAAAAGGATCAGAAATGAAGAAACCATAATTCTAAACCCCACGAAAGGAAAAACGTACGTAGACATCATTAAAAGCATGAAAAAAATAGTTGACACCAAATGGGTCATCGTAGAAAAAATACGAAGAACAAGCAAAGACGAAGTTCAAATTACGATAAAGGGCATCGAGGAGAAAATTAGACAGCATTTCAAAGAACTTCTCAAAAACAAAATGGAGACTCTAGCAGAGGTAGGCACACCGCAGAAAAGGCGAACCGTAATGATCCTAGACATAAACGAATCAACGTAGGAAGATGACGTCAAGCAAGTCATAGACACAGAATATGGAGGGTAGAGGAAAGGAGAACAATCTCTGTATACAAAAAGTGTCCCTCAAAATGTATACAATTAAGATGGCGCTTCTGTGCCCAGGGGACGTCGACAGTCGATAATTCAGATCACACAATGACACCAATGATGTATATAGTAATAAATATTGCTCAACCATAAAAAACTAAAAACTACACCGTGAAAAGTGACTGATCGTAGAAGAGTAAGTGTTCTGTGATCGTAGATAAATTTTGACAATACACGACAATAGTCAAATTTTATTGAAAAATAATAATATAAACAATAAATAATTCTTATATTAAAATGGCACGGAGGTCTCAATTTACTGCTTCCTGTCTGATTTAATTATGAATGAGCAATCTATATGACTATATAGCATTGGATTTTGTCCCCTGGCTACACGAGCGCCATCTTAATTGTATACATTTTGGTGGCCACTTTTTAATATAAAGATCCATATAAGATTGTCCTCCTTTTCTCTACCCTCCATAACACAGAAATAAACAAGGACAACAGAAAAATTGACATACAAGCCGAATGACAGAGGAGTAAAGTATGCTTTTGTAACACTGGAGGAAGATACGGCAATCTTATTGGCTATGAAAAAAAAGGATAGGGAGTGGATAGAATAGTTGGAGAGTTGGAGAAATGGAAGCTCTTCCGAAGTGCTTTAGGTGCCACAGAATAGGACATATTGCAAATAAGTGCGACAAGAAAGACAGTAATGAATTCTGCCACAACTGCGAGGAAAAGGGACATCACAGAAGAGAATGCAAAAACGAGCAAAAATGCTACTTGTGCAACACAGAAGGACACAAAACAGAAACGATGAAATGTCCAGAGTACAGAAGGCTGTTACAAGAGCAGAGAAAGGAGAAAAGGATCCGGATACCAAGCCAGTAGGAAAGTCTTACAAACAAACATAGATAGAGGAAGGGAGGCGATGGACCTACTATACAAAACAGCCGAAGATGAAAAAGCCGATGTTATCATAGTCACGGAACCAAACAAGAAAAAAGCTACCCAGGGAAAACTACATGTAGACAATAAAGAAGATGTTCCAATAATCATAAGAGATCCTCAACTAAAAATAGCGGATAAAGGAACTGGAGATGGATTCACATGGGTAGAAATAGAGGAAGTCATAATTTACGGATGCTACATCTCACCAAGTGTCAACCTAGAGATATACATAGACTTCCTAGAGGCACTACGTGAAGACATGAAAAGGAAGACCAAATAAATAGTTGTTGGAGGTGACTTAAATTACAAATCCTACCTATGGGGCTCTAACGTAGAGGACCGCAGAGGCCAAGTACTGTCAGAATGGCTAGCCGAGAAAGATCTGATCGTGCATAATCAAGGAAGCAAGCCGACATTCATAAGGGGAAACAGCACATCCTACACAGATATCACCTTTAGCAAAAAACACCCCAGTAAAAGTGTTGTTAATTGGAGGATCTAGAAGTAGAGACACTTAACTATCACCAACACATAACATTTAAAATATTAGAGAAAGATATAATGCATCCAAATATCTCCAAAAAAAAGCAGAGGCTGGAAGATTACTAAAAGTAAACTTGGCGACCTGGTCCAGGAAGTGGGTGCAGGATTAGAAGTAAGTACCAATAAAGGCCTAGACGAGGAACTGCTTACCAAAATCATCACTGCGGCATGCAATAAAATAATGCAAAAGAAAAAATTGGCCAAAATAAGAAGCCCATCTACTGGTGTACAGAACAAGTAGCAGAGAAAAGGAAAATATGCTTACAAGCCAAAACAGCCATGACTAGGGCAAACAAAAACAACAATCCAAACACAAAGCAAGAGTGTACGAAAAGATACCGAGAAAATAGGACCATTTTTAAGAAAGCTATCGCGGAATCTAAAACGAATGCATGGAAGAAACTGGTGCAAGAAGTGGACCTGGATGTTTGGGGAAAAGGATATAAAATTGTCATGTACAAATACAAAGGAAACGCTCCGATAACCTTAGATGACGAACAACAAATAATAGTGGCACAGGAGTTATTCCCGACGCACCTGACCAGAAAGTGGGAAAGAATATGCCAGTAAGGGAACAAGACATACCCTCTTTCACAAAGGACAAACTGCTAGAAGCCAGTAATAAGTTAAAGGAGAAGAAAGTCCCGGGTCCTGATAGCATACCTGCAGTGGTAGTAAAGGAGGTAGTTAAAAAACACACAGGATACATTCTAGAGATTTTTAACAGATGTTGGCTGAAAGGAACGTTCCCTAAACAATGGAAAGTAGCAAAACTGGTACTTCTGGAAAAACATAGAAGAAAACAATGAACAGGATATATAGGCCTATCTGTCTCTATAATTTATTTGTAAAATTGATGGAGCATCTTCTCCTAGGAAGGCTGAAGAGGGAAATAGAGAGAAACGGTGACTTGTCTAGTGAACAATATGGTTTTCGAGAGGGCAGATCAACCATGGACGCTATGGAAAAAGTTCAGCAAATAGCAGACGAGACAAATGAGAGAGCAGGCAGAAAAAGGTGTGCCCTCATTACAATAGATGTAAAAAATGCCTTTAATTCTGCCCGTGGGATGGAATCCTAGAGGAACTGAGAAACCGAGGTGTAACCCCACAAACATATAACCTAGTGGCCAGCTATCTAGAAGACAGGTGGCTCCTCATAGGGACATAAGGAAAAATGAGCAGGATAACGTGCGGAGTACCACAAGGCTCTGTTATAGGACCAATGTTATGGAATGTGTATTACGATGGCATCCTAAAACTCCCAATACCACGCGAGGTGAAGCTAGTAGGCTACGCGGATGATGTAAGCATAGTAGTGACGGGGAAAGACGCGGAAAAATTGCAAACAACGGCAAATGAGGTCCTAGAAAATATAACCCAATGGTTGACAGCAAAAAGACTAGCCCTAGCCCCACAAAAAACTGAGATGGTTATCTTAGCAGGAGGACGTACCGTCAAGGAAATCAATGTTAGGGTGCAAGACGTAACAGTAACGAGTCAAAAGGAAGTCAAATATCTTGGAGTATACTTTGACCATAACATCCTAAACCGAACCATGCAATTTAATTAAAAATCCACATGATCTGGTCTGGGATTCGAAGCCTAGCAGTCTCAGACTCATAAACTTGCCTATAAATGAATATAAGCGCGTTAGACCGCTACACTACCGACCCGATAATTAGTGGAAGAAAGTTGCGCTATGCGAAATGGCATTGATAAAAGAGTGGCTACTGACCACACAATTCAGAAATGGCAACAAGAATGGCAACGAGAAACTTATAAAAGTCATTGGACGAAAAGGCTAATTCCCAATATTGAACCATGGGCTACAAGAAATCATGGTGAGGTCTCATACTACCTTACACAACTAATCTCCGGACATGGGTGTTTTCAGGCATACCGATATAGGTTCCACGTCACAGAGAGCAATGAATATCATTACTGCAGGGAAATAGACACAGTAGAGCACACAATGTTTGAATGCCAAAGATGGAGCAATGAAAGGACGATGCTAGAAATCAAGATTGGGAATATAATTTCGGAAAATATAGTCAACAAAATGTTAGTAAACGAAAACAACTGGAATGATATAAGCCACTTCGCAACGGTAATACTAAGCAAGAAAGAAGCCGATGTCAGACAGAGGGAGAGAGAAGCAATGCCGAAAGGCAGTCCCTGATAGACCACGGAAAGGCAGCGGAGGGGTTTTTGTCGGAGTTGCGCCCGACACTACCAAACACATTGACCCAGTGTTTGGTGCCAAGCGGTTTCCCCTCTACAGAAAAAAAACTACCACCTGAATAGATTTTTATTAGGTACAAAAAGTGCTGTTTTGTCGAAGTATTAATCCCTTTAGTTATCCAAGCTTTTTGTTTTTTAGTGTGTTTATAGGAAAAGCATTATTGCTTTTTTTAATAGAGTAGTATGAAACTGCTGAAAGGAGTATAAGGATGACAAAATAATGAACCAATTTTCATCGATATAGAGTTGAGAAAATTTATTGTAATTATATCTATCAAATATTCTACCAGATTTAGATGAAGATTTCTGTGATATTTTATAAACTATGTGACTTAATACCGGACCATGATCAGACAAATAATTGTTTTGTTACATAACAACTTGACTCAAATTTTGACAGATTTTCTTATTTCACAACATAAAAGAAACAAAAATAATTAAATTTCTTATAAATTACCCCGTGATATATCTGAACGTACCTACAAACTGTATAAACTTCCCTTTATACATCTACAAGTAAATTCCATGCGCCGAAGTTCGCGCATTTCATTTCCACCCCTTTTCACTAGAACTCCTATTCAATGACAGATTTTATAGTTTCCTATATTTTTTTATTAAAATAGCTATCAAATTTTCTAGTCCAAGTGCCATAAAAAAGATATAAAAGTTACAATCGAAGCAATTATTCGTACGTTACCTCCAAACAAGGTAAATTATAATAAATGTGCGCCATGCCTCAAAAAATATCGACTCGCGTTCGCGAGATTGTGATGTGATGTGATAATATTACCGCTAGCCGCTTAAAATTGTACAGATATTAAATGGTTGCTAAAGTTTATCATTAGATGTGAATAAATTGAGCAACATTATCAGTTAGTATTTAACCTTTTATTATTGTGTGACATATTCTAATACTTTTAGGTCAGAATTAGATAAGAAATCAGCAGCAAAATACTTATGCTTATTTCGAGTTATTTAAAAAATATCGTTTATGACACACATGCATAAAATTGTTATTATCGTCAAACGCTAATTATTGAAGGTGAGCATTGTTCAATTAAAATTTAAATCAATAAGGCAATTGTTTTCGTGCTTAAACACTTGTTCCAAGTGCAGGCAAGTAAATTATTCTAAGTTTATATAATTTAATTTCTAATGTAGCGATTGCAGTTTTAATAATAATAATAATAATTTAATGTTTTTATCACATAAAGGTATATATTTTATTAATAGTTACTTTGCAGTAAACAATTATTGTCCTTGAAGTTGTAGAAATTGTATAAGCAAATATAATTTGAAAATTATTTCATAAATATCCACTTGTATCACCGTTATGTGTTCTAATAGATAAGAGAGAATGTTTCAGTTGTACCTAAATTATTAAATATAAATAAAAATTTCCTTGGTTTATTCCGTCTTTTTTATTTTCAATTGTTTAGCACAGCACTACATATATTTCGGAAATTTTTTCTATCTTCGGGTGCAGTCATAAATTAATAAAACATGGGGGCGAATACAAACAACCTAAAAATCATTATTTCGAATACACCTTCAAACGATGAAACAGAAAGATGGGGTTTCTTCATTTTAAAAATATTTTAAAAATTTTTTCATTTGTTTGTATTCGTCCCCATGTTTTATTAATTTATGACTGCACCCGATGATGGAAAAGTTTTCCGAAACATATGTAGTGCTGGGCTAAACAATTGAAAATTAGAAAAAGACCGAATAAACCAAGGAAATTTTTATTTATATAAAATTCTGCTACGGTTAAGAAAATATTCTTATTTAAATTATTAAAATAATTTGTACACAAATATTTAAGAAAATAAATATCTTCTAATTAACTAAAATAAAAATTTCCTTAAATAATAGAGGGTAGGAATGGTTTTTCTACTGTTAGTTCACTTGCTCATTTACTGCTAAATTTAACACTATTTTATTCCATGCCATATAATTTATAAAATACCCTCTTTTCGAGGGATACCATATTGTATTTTTTAGTTGTTTTAATGCTGTTTAGTAACATCTAACTTTCTATTACGTAGTGCCAATATTATTTATTTATAAGGCCTGATGGTGGTCTTAGTGCCTAAACATGTTGCATAATTTAAAAAATTACGAATTTTGTGTATTCTTAATCTCGTTGTTTTAATAGTTTGTGAGTTGATTAATTTTGAGTACCTATTTTTTAATCGAAATCATTTTTAATAACGAATGGAGCTCAGATTTTGTTTTTCGATAAAACAATTGATTTTATGTATGTAGATTTACTTATAAAAAGATTGGAGACAGAAAATTATTTTGTGATTTACCTATGTGTTTTTGATTGGAAAAGTTGGAATAAATTGCAGATATTCTTAAGCTGCAAAAGTTCAAAAGTTATATTATTAGTTTTATTACTGATAATAATTTTACTTACAAGCTTTTGTATTTTTAAAATATTTGCAATTTGCTTATTTTTATAATCAAATACGCATAAATCTCAAAAAACGAGTTACAAGCTTTTGCACTTTAACCTTCGATATAAGGGTGTACCAATAAAAACTCGCAGGCCGGATATTTTGGTAAATAATAGAGATATTTTAATTCTGTAAAAGCCAGTTCATAGAGCGCTAAGAGAGCTTTAGTTTAAGATATACATTAATTTTAAATAGGTCAATTTGTAGATGTCGCCGCTCTCAATATATATATATATTTTTTTTTTCGATGGGAAGATCTTTCTTATACAGGGTGTAACTAAATAAGTGTAAAACGTTTAAGGGGGTGATTCCTCATCGAAAAAAAGATCTTTCATATAAAGAAACTTCATTGGAGCATCCCTTGTTAAGATACATAAAATTTGTTTAACAATTTTTTTCACAAGCACTAAACAAGTTTTGTAACAATATTGTTATTGAAATTAACCTGATGACGATGTATCTCTGTAGTTGTTCGTAAAATAATTTTTTGCTGCGAACTGGTTTATTTTGGGCAAAAAATTCAAGAGACATTTTTTGTTTAGAATGAAACAGGTTATCGGAAATAAAATTTTAAATGGTAAACAAATAATAAGACAAAAAGTTACGTTGGAACGAAATTTTAGGGGTTGCGTTTTCCACCCCTTACAACCATGGGGTGAAGCAAATAAATTACTGGCTAAGTGTCTTTTTGGTGATAGAAAATGACAGGTTAATTTCAATATTGTAACTTGTTTAGTTCTTGTGAAAAAAAGTGTTAAACAAATTTTATGTACCCCCTTTAAGGGGCTGTATCTTAACAAGGGATGCTCCAATGAAGTTTCTTTATATAAAAGATCCTATCTTTTTTTCGATGAGGAATCACCTCCTTAAATGTTTTACACTTATTTAGTTGCACCCTGTATAGCGCATCTTGTAAAAAATTGCATTTTGAGCAGATTTTGTTTTATAAACTAATTCGATAAATTTAGCCATTTTTGATATACAGAGTGGGTTACTCAAAACAGTTTCATCTTGTTTTTTGGCAATAACCTTTGGATTTTAGGAATATGCTAAAACAGGTCGATTTTTATTCTAAATTAAACACATTTTTACAATACAGACATCTGTCATGTGTCAACCTTCTCCCTTTCACTTCTCTAACCCCTTAATTTTAAATAAGGAATGTACCATGTACGGCACATCATTAAAAAGGTAATTTTATGACAAAGTCAGAAATATGACTGTTTATTGCGATACTTTTAATTTTAGCGCCCTCTATCGGGATAAAAAACCTGTAACGTATTATAAAGTGTGACACTTCATTTGAAAGCTAATTTAATTACTAATTCAGTGCACCACATAACATTATTATAAATATTTCTATATTGCACTTTCAACAAAATAAAGTAAGCACTAATGTTTAAAATAATGCATGACTAATTTTCAAACTATTGCAAGTGCAATATGAAGGAGATTTATATTACATATTAATGTTTTAAGGTGCATTAAAGAAGTGATTAAATTTGCTTTCAAATAAGGTGTCACATTTTATAATACTTACAGTTTTTTATCCCGATATAGGGCGATACAATTAAAAGTATCGCAATAAACAATCATATTTCTAATTTCCCTATAAAATAACCGCTAGAGGGCGACAAAATTTAAGTAACGCAATGATGTGCCATGCATGGCACATCACCTATTTAAAATTAAAGTGTTGGAGAAGTGCAAGGGAGGGGGTTGACACATGACAAATGTCTGTATTGTAAAAAATGTGTTTAATTTCCAATGATTAATGCTGAAAACAGAATGAAACTGTTTTGAGTGACCCACTCTGTATATAAAAAATGGCTAGATTTATCTAATTAGTTCATAGAACAAAATCTGCCTAAAAATGCATTTTTACAAGATGCGCTATATAAGAAAGATCCTCCATCGAAAAAAAAATTATTGAGCGCAGCGCCATCTCCATATTGACCTATTTAAAATCAATTTGTATCTAAAACTAAAGCTCTCTTAGTGCCCTGTGAAATCGTGTTTACAGAATTAAAATATCTCCATTACTTACCAAAATATCCGGCCTCGTAGTTTTTATTTGTACACCCTGTATAAAGTGACATTTTGTACTCGCAGCAAGTGTCAAAATAATCTACTTTAATTGTTGAACAATCTGTCGAAAGCGGCGATGCACTTTTCGCTCAAATTTTTTTTAAAAAATAGATGTAAAAACTGAAAATAAATCTTTAGTAGTGTATAATGTGTTGCTATACTTACGTTAATCATGAAAAACCAGTTAATATTCAAGGTCCATGTTAACTTGAATAATATAACAAAAAACATGTAAATACGTGCAAATAACTTGCAAATCATTTATTAAAAATAAATATTATTATATGATAGCTAATTTAAATTAGGCCAAATATTATTACATGGACAGGCGTAAGGGGTAAAAGGACCAATCATTTTTACATGGGCACTCTTAAGAGGTAAAAGATCCATATATTTTTACATATACATGCTTAAGAGGTAGAGGACGCAAATATGTTTACATGTGCATGCTTAAGAGGTAAAGGGACCAAATATTTTAATATGTGCAGGATCAAAACTTAAAGTGCCAAATATTTTACACATGTGTAGTATTAAGGAGTAAAGCGTGCATGTTTTCAAGGATTTAGCCAATGTCACTTTTAGGATGATTAATATTATTGATTGATTTTAACAAATTCTAGGTAAACTACTTTTTAATAATACATACAAAAGAATCTAATTTCTGATAAATATGATTTGCAGTACTAAAAAAGTCTAACAGCTGAGAATTTTTTTCAATTATTATTAATTGTACAATTAGAAAACTTGAAAGATAACAATCCTCAAAGATTCAGACATGGAGGGGCAGAATCAATTTTTTGAATTTAATGGATATTGAATGAATGTTTTTTATATCTTACCATGTAAGAATTTAGTTACTAATTCATGTATATTTTATTTACAGATATTAATTTTCTTGCGGTTTTTTGCAAGTGGTAGTTCAAAGCTCCTCTGTATCACACTATGTGTCCAGAAATTTTAACAATTTTGTAAAATTACCACAAAATATTAAAGAACTGAATGAGATAAGCAAAGTTATTAATTAAATTAATTTTGTACCATAAAAATTAGGTTTTTTATGACGTATGATTTTTCTGGAACTATAGATTGCATTGACTGCACCCGTGTAGCTATTTATCTGCCAAAAATTAACGATTCAGTTTATTCTGAAAGTTTATATATTATATGATTAGAAAAAATAATTATTCGATAAATTTACAATTGGTTTGTTGTAATTAAATTACATAATCCTTATTTTCTATGGCCTGCACATCACTTGAATTTATCGATATAGACAGTTTACAGTGATGCCAGACATATTATTTGCTTGTTAAAAACATACACGTTTTAAAAAACGAACGCTCATCGAACGCCAGTTAAGAATATAGAGTTCAAAAACTACTCGCTTTTCAACCAATCGCTTTCGAAAACGGTTCGTTTTTTTGCGATTGTCGAGGATAGCCGCCTTGGTGTTTGATTAATATTTAGGATATATACTCGTAATTTACGGTTTGAGTTTTTAATATATGTATAATAACAAAAGTAGTCTAGTACTTTGTCACACTAATTTCATATCGTGCTTCTGATCAATTTCTTTATTTGCCATGTATGACTAGTGTATTTTAATGTACACAATAAACATTATTTTTATAATTTCCAGATATCCTAATGGTCTCTAACACTCAAGCTATTGGAATAAATATAGACCAACCCAGATATGACCAGAACACTTACGTCGGACGAGCTAAACATTTCTTTCTCACCACCAATCCTTTAAACATTTTTGTTTCAAATGAGCAATTAGAAGATGCCAGAACAATTGTTCAAAAATACAGGTATGTATAGTTAGTCTAAGGTATCGTCATCCAACTACAAATTATCGCTATTTATTTGTAGCTATTGTGTTTCGCGTATTTTTTAAGAAAAGTAACTTTTTAAAAGTCATTGTCAAACTTTCAACGTTAATTAAAATTTATGGACCCGTGAGAATGTGATCTGAATGGCATGGACATCAAATAAAATCTAATAAAGTTATAGTCTAGTAGGTAGTAACAGATTTTTGCAACGTTTTTTTAATGCTTGCATCTTTTAAGAGCTCTTTCACACGGGGATACTGTATGCCAGATACGCGTATCCGAGATACAGAATCGCGGTCGAAAAGTTGGGCTGCTGTTTCGAATTCACGCATCTCTACAATCAGTACTAAATGTGTCACAGTGGCGTGCCTAGATTTGAATTAAGGATCTAGAAAAGTGAATTATACTGAGGTATATAATACAGTAAGCCACATAAAATGGACATCGTATAGGCTTTTTTTTGTAAATGCTGTGGATAAATTTTGACTTTGCCATCTTCTATTGCCTTAAAAATGATAACGAATGACATGCAAATGAACATACACGTGACCTTTTTGAATGTCTAAAATGACATTTTTTCCTAAAAATTGCAAAAATGGCAATTTCGAAAAATTGTTTAACAAAAAGTTGCTTATTTTATAATTTGTTACCCATATATAGCCCGTGCCAAGTTTTTATTTTCTACCAATTCAGTTTTGGGTTACTGGAGTTTAGTTGTATAAAATATATTTAACAAAAAAAAAAATTAAAAGAAGCGCGTCGCGTAAACAGATTAATTTATGCAGGTTAGCGTAAATTCTAGTAACCTTAAAATGAATTGATAAAAAAATAAAATAAGTTGAAAATTGGTATACGGGTAAAAAATAAGGCATAGGTTTTTTGCTTTTTTTTACAAAAAAAGTCAATTTTGAAGCAACAAAAAATGGCAAAGTCAAAATGTATCTACATCATTTAGAAAGAAAAATCCCATACGATGCGCACTTAATGTGTAACACTGTATATTAAGAAAAAGTAATACCTGTGATATTTTCAATATAGATACGGTAGGTGATGAAATAATATTTCAATTAATACAGTCAAAACTCATAAATCAATTTGGAACCAATTCATGTTGTTTTATCAAGAAAAATGTACGAGTTTGACACGCAAAGGCATCTGTAGAGTACATTACTTTAATATTAAAAGACTGAGCATACAACATGCGTAGAAAAGACGATAAGGAATATAATAATTCCGTAGTTTAGGCTAATTTTTTATTTCTGAAATAATTTGAAAAAAAACTCTTCGTGCATCTAATTTAATCCTTTCTTAAATAAATTAAACTATCAAACTAAATGCACTCAGGATAACTACCTACCATTGAAAAATCCTGCGCCTATGATATAATCTCCGTTGCAAAAGTATCCATGTCTGAAAAGGTCCATATATCGTAATAGTAATTCTGTATGCGGCATACGCATTCAGCGTCCGCGGCTGGAGGTGCCGGGATGCAGAAATTCCGTATCGCGAAACTGTATGCGTCGCCCGTACCGTGTGAATAGGTCCATTTGAATGTATGGTCAGCCTGAATCTCGGATACGCGTATCTCGTATACAGTATCTTCGTGTGAAAGCACTCTAAGTTAGATGATTATTATTGTAGCATGCAGCGGCGTACACTAAGCAAATTTCAATTTTTATTGACAATGTAGGTTTTCACTTCGAACTTTGATCGGAAAGGTCCAATCGGGCTAATTTTTTTTGCAAAATGTTCATTGAGACATGAGATTCAAAGTTCACTAAAATCTAGATGCCGCTCGGTCTTCCTCCCCCCAAATTCACCCCAATTGAGGGGAATTCTCGGCTTTTTTCAATAAAAGGCGCATAATTAATAAAACTGCAGTCCAAAGCGGGGTAAATGTTCCACTCGGGGGTTTTAAAGTACCCTGAATCCATTATTTGGGTCAGGTCGCCTTTGCGCCCTTCCCAGGGGTGGGTGACAGGGCCACTGGGGGTCCAATATACTAGATGTCCGTGGAAATGTATTTGGACTCCCAAATTGCGCTAGGGGAGTTTAGAAGGGCGGAGATCTCAACGTCATTGAGAATTAAGCCTTTTCAAGCCCTCAGGGTCGTATAAAAAGGGGCCATGGGGTCTCAAATATCATGATCACGCGGGATTGAATTTCAGGACACAGAATTAGTACGCGCTAGTGGTATAAAACAAAAAATCTAAATTTGGGCAGCCTGTCATCCTGTGACCCAACCAGGGGTGACCAAACAGGGTGCTGGGCCCAAAATATGAGATGTGATTTTAGTTGATATCAAAATGTAAAATTGATATAATTTCTCCACCGAGTATACTTCTTGGTCTTTTAAATTTAAATTCTCGTAAAATTCAATTTTCTCATATAAAGTTGATGACGGCATAATGAGGGTTTTTAAGGGTGTAATTTTATGTTGCAAGCATGTAGCCCCAGTGCTGCACAAACAAGCGTCCTGAGGGGCCGAAACTATCATGTTTACCTGGGACGATTCGATTTGATTTCATTACATAAAATTGATATAACTCACCTGGCCGGGGAGCTAACCTTTTGAGGCTGGTAAAACGGTTGCGGTGGATATGGAATTGAAAAAGAAATACTTCAACGTGAAATGGAATTAGATTTTTTCATGAATATTTAATGTAGCCTGGTGTCATAGAAAAATTTGACATTTCAACAAAACAATTCTTACAGAATAATATAATTTGTTTCTTTTTTCTACAACAAATTCATATTCCATCGTGTTGTGTTCTTCCATCTTCTTGTTCAACGTCTTCCAACAAATCATCTGTTTCAGTGACCTTGAAAATCGTCCCCAATAAATTGTCCATATAAGGTTTGTCTCTTTCTATTAAGAGGTTTAAATCCAATATTGAATCAAGGTTGTCGACAGGCTGAATTTCAGTTGCCGCCAATTTTAAATTATCACACTCTTCCTCCAAACAATTTTTACAAGCCATCGTGCACTTCATACCTGAACATTTACACTTACATTTCTTACTACAAGCCTTCTTACAGGAACAAAAAATTGTCCGCAATAACTTATCTGGAGCTGGGGGTCCAAGAATGGGTTCTAAAGAATCATTTTCTTATTCTTCCCATCCCCAATCTGTTGGCTGCAATTCATGTCCCATCCAACACTGAACTTGAAAATACACTCTTTTAAGATGTTCTAATGCTGCATCTAAAGTCGGTGGTAATCTACAAAGTAGGACTTCAGTTTTTTTTGCTACGTTTTCTTTGCCACGTTTTCATAAAAAGATAAATATCGAAGGAGTATACTCGCTGGCGGAATTAAATCAATTTTACATGTTGATATCAAATAAAATCAAATCTCATATTTTGGGCCCCGGCACCCCTTTCGGACACCCCTGGTTTGGTCACAGGATGACAGGCTGCCCAATATAGAGTTTGTAGTTTTATAACACTATCGCGTACCAATTCTGTGTCCTGAAATTCAATCCCGCGTAATCATGAAATTTGAGACCCCATGGGCCCCTGTGTATACGGCTCTGATGGCTTGAAAAGGCTTAATTCTCGATGAAATTGAGATTTCCGCCCTTCTAAACCCCCCTGACGCAACTTGGCAGCCCAAACACATTTCCACGGACATCTCATATTTTGGACCCCCAGACGTCCTGTCACACACCCCTGGGACGCCGGATCGAATGAACAATAGATGACGGGCAAACTTTAAACGCGATTTTCTCGAAACTACTTTTTTCGACCTGGTTGACATAATATCTCAAGTTCTAATTAACCGATTTACTAAAAATTAGCCGGAGAGGCTAGCCGCGAGCTTAGTGTGCATCCACTTACTCGCAACAGTTAAGCAGTAATCTCTCCGGTCACCTCGTGGATGGGTGACCGCTAGGAGGTTCCACCATGGGCCGTGTCACCATGGGATTCATCATCCAACTACCGTTTAACCATCAACGAAGTGGAATGAATGAGAATGAATGAGGGTGTAAATGGGAAAGTAGTAGGACCTTCACTACAGACGGATTAGGGTGTAGCACGGGAGGTCTGAAGGCTGTAAAACTAAAACTAAAAAAAACTACTAAAAATTTTGCTAAAATGGTATTTATACAATGTATACCTCCTAGATTTTGAAAAAACAAAATTTTTACTATTTTTTTAAAAATTCGTGAAAATAAAAAAAAAATAGGGCGAAAATTTTTTTTTGTCAAATTGCCTCCATTTTGCGAAAGTATGTTTTAATTTATTTCCAATGTCCAGGCTATAGCGTCGCCTTTACTAATCAATAATTTTTTTGGTTTTTTGGTTCAGAACACTACAAGGGTTGGAATCATGTCAACCACGACACATCTTTTTTTGGCCCCACTTCACAACCTCATAATTTTATGAATTTTTGATTTATTTTGTGTGTTTAAAATGTTACTATAAATTATGTAAAAAAATTGATAGTAGACATGTTTTTAGTTATTTTTATTCTACGACTAAAATGTAGGCTTCTAGACCAGAATACCCCCTTAAAGTGGACCACGAAAAATACTTTGCATGCAGTCGTGGCTTGCACTTGCGTTGCGATAATTTTTTAAACATGAATTTTTTTTGTAATTACTGAGAACAATAAGGAACAATTATTTAGTGCATACAATTGGACAATGTGAAAATTATTGTGTAAATACCTATGTGCGAAATAAATTTGTATGCATTTAGGAAGTGTTTAAAATATTTGCATATGCTAAAATGGATCGCAAAATAATCGATGTACTTTAAACAATTAACAAACGTACGCTATTTTGTTTTTCGTAAACTTCTTGATAAAATATTACGATTTAACGACCTGCATACGATTCCGACGTGTACAACGATAACAAATGACGAAACAAAATTTGAAATAACGTTGAACAATTGTTTAACGATAGCTATTTGGAATGATGATAAATTACGTAAGAATATTCAAGTATATTTATTTATTTGCACATGATTTCGATATCTACAACGCTGTATACTCGTCAATAAAACTCTATAATACTCGTAGATTTTGTGTGACATGTAAACTTAAACTTCCCGGTCTGTTTGCGCGTCCATGATGTGTTTTGTTTCATTACATAGAATCCAGGGGCCACTAAAATACACAGTTGTATGCAGGCAACGAAAGCAACCAGGAAAGCAGATTTTCTGTCAGTATAATTATTATTGTTCATATTGTTTTTAATGGCTTCGTTAATATTTTCCAATATGTAACAAGATGGCGAATATTAATGTAAATATTTATAATTAAGAAAATAAATTAAATACAAAACATTAAATTGAAGGTTTCAAAATGAGTATTGGTCTTTTTAAGTGCTTCCAAAGTAGGGTAAACTGTCCCACAGTAAACCACGGTACACAGTAAATCATTCGTCATAATGGCGAACGTACCAGTTTTAAAAATGAACGCAAGGGGGCATTTGAAGCCATATGTTGTTAGCTTTCATTTGACCAGTCAGTCGGGAGCGTGCAGTTGTTTATGTAGGTTGTGCTGATAATCGAAGAAATACAGGTACGTAAATAAAAAAAATGGAAAGTTTATTTTTTGTTCCTGAGCAAAACCTAACGTACGTTTTTGTTCATGGCTATACCTGACAGTGAAAGTTATAATGTTTAGATCATATATCAATCAAAATTCTTTTATTTCAAGTCCTTTATATAGATATCAATTATGTTTATGTTTTTAACGAACTTTGTCCAACAGTGAACCAGCATGGTGTAGTACACAGTGAACCTGGTTCACTGTGTACCACATTAATGCGGAGGTACATTATTTGATTTTTTTTTTCAGTATGGCTAGATCCAAGAAGCCAAGAAAAATAGCCAAATTTACAAAAGAGCAAATGAAAGCTGCTCTTGAGCTTATCATAAATGGCTACAGCATTAGAAATGCGGCAAAAATGAACTCACTAAGAATAAGAATAAGGATAAGAATCCAACGTTAAGACGATATTATGCCAAAACAAGAAATTTGGAGAATATTGAAAATGTTAGATTTGTCCCTAACTATACTGTAAACCAAATATTTAATGAAGAACAAGAACAAACACTCATTAAATATTTAAAAGACTGTGCCTATCACTTTTATGGTTTGACGAACATGGATTGTCGAAAATTGGCTTACGAGACAGCATCAATCAATAAGTTAAAATTTCCAAATTCTTGGAAACGAGAAAAAAATTGCTGGAGTTGAATGGTTAAGATCTTTTCGATCAAGACATCCAGAATTGACTCTAAGAGCTCCGGAGCCTTGTAGTTTAGCAAGGTTCAATCGGATGAACGTTCAAAAATACTTTGAAAACCTTGAAAATGTTTTGAAACGACACTCAAGTTTTGCAGATGGCACTCGGGTATACAACTTGGATGAAACGGCGACGACGACTGTACAAAAACCCCAAAAACTGATTGCACCCAAAGGTATAAGATGTATTTCCAAAGTAACTAGTGGCGAAAAGGGGACATTAATTACAACATGCGCTATAGTTTGCGCCAATGGACAATCACTTCCACCAGTGGTAATTTTTCCTAAGAAGAATTTCATGACTAAAGGAACGCCTCCTGGAACATTAGGCCTAGCAGCACCAAGTGGCTGGATGAACTCTGAATTGTTTCCCGAGGTCATCAAACATTTTAAAAAGTATAGTTCTTCCTCTAAAGAAAATCCATCTCTTCTAATATTTGACAACCACGAGTCCCACTTGTCAGTAGAGGCACTATAAATGGCTAAATTAAATGGGGTTACCATTCTCACTGTACCACCCCACTCTTCACACAAGACGCAACCTCTTGATGTAGCTTTATTTAAACCATTTAAGACATTTTACAATGCGAGTATGAAATCGTGGTTAGTTAGTCATCCAGGTCAACCCGTAACCATTTATGAGTTAGGTGCCTTCATTGGCGAAGTATATCAAAAGGCCCTAACACCTCAATCTATCACGAATGCCTTTAAAAAGACAGGAATTTTTCCGTTTGATAAAACTATTTTTACAGAGATTGATTTTTTACCAAGTTCAATTATAGACAGATCTTTTGACAATAGCATCAATGAAGCTGGTCCTTCGAATATTTTGGTAAAAGAAAATAAAGCGATGCGTAAAAATACATCTGCTAATCTTTTACCGGGAAGTCCAGAAGAGCAGACTACAGAGACATTCGTATCACCTTCCAACTTTAGACCACCTCTGAAAGCTCAACCCAGAAAAACTATCAGAAAGACCAGAAAAAAGGGAATAATTCTAATTGCAACCGATACCCCGGAAAAAGAAGAAATTGCAAAGACTAAAATGGAGAAACAAAGAAGAGTAGAAATAAAAAAAGACAAAGCCAAGGGAGGAATAAAGACGGTCAGAAAGGTGCTTCAGCAAAGTTCTTCATAGGAATCTGACCTTTCGGTAATCCTGGAAAGTGACGACTTAAGTGATGACTTTTCGGATGAAGAGATGTCAGTAAAATAAATATTAGGTCCGCTGACTTTTAGGGGATTTTGTATTGGTTGAATTTCAGGGAAACAAAGACGTAGTCTACTATGTGGCTAAAGTTTTAGGAATTCAAACTATGGAATATGAAGTCAGTTATTTAATATGAACGTCTATGAAGACTTTGTTTTCTTTTCCTGATGTTCCTGACTTGGCATTCGTTCTAAAAACTGATACAAAACTGATTTTACCGAAACCCACAGAACAGGGAAGTACCAGTAGACAAAAAATTCGTTTTATTCTTTTGATGTTAATTTTTCGGGTTTAAATTTGCGCTAAGCGTTCTATTTGTTTGTATTTTAAAATGGTTTATCTTTAAGTATAATGTTTTTAAGTGATTTCAAAGAATAAATTTTATTTTCTACCATATTTAGTTTTGTAATTATTTGCCTAATTTTTTGACTTAAAAATATCAAAAATAAAATAATAATATTTTTTACAATTTATTTTAATTTGGTTCACTATTCACTTAATGGTGGTTCGCTGTGTCCACTACGTGATACACAGTGAACCACTCGTTACTTTTTTAAAAAACTGAAAGGTTGGTACTTTTTTTTTAAAATAACTTCGAATTATTCATAGAAATTGAAAGCCAATACTTCAGCGAATAAGTTAATGTATAAATTTCAGAAATATCTAGTGAAACCCTGCAACTAGCCTTGCCTAAACAAAAAGTGTATCACTGTGGGACAGTTAACCCTATATATAGAATCTCATTGATTCTACTATTGTACTTAATCTAATTTATAATTAGGTATTATAATAATATAATGTTCAATTTTTTACATGTAAAATTAAAATCATACTAATGCATCTCTTATACACATGCTATATAGAGGTATTTGAAGATTTGAAAACGAATCTCAAACGGCGCTTGGTCCGAATTAGCACATCAAATTGCTGTCTAGAAATATCGACACTCAATGTTGTGCTGGGCTAGAGGTAGGACATTTGTGTACAGAATATAGATGTCTGGGTTCGAATGTCATCGATGACAGGCTTTTTTAAATCTCCATGTATTTGTTTTCACCTTTGGGGTTCGGAGATGGTCTTAATAATTAGTAGGGATTTTTAAAATTTGTTTCCTAAAACGATTTTGTTTTTTCCATTTTTATTCAATCTCAATTTAAAAATTTGTGATTACCTAGATTTATTCAATTAGAATTTTGACCAAAACGAATTATTTTCTAACATTCTGTTTATAATATACATTAAAATCCATATATACACACACCGTAATTGTATGCAAAAAGCTAAATCGTGTTATTTTATCAATAATTTCACGAAAGACAAAGTAGCATACGTAAAATAATTGTTCAAAAATGCCTGCCATTTTTGCCAAATTTAACTTTTTTCTGAAATAATGCTAAACTACAGAACTGTATGCAAATGTTTATATTGACAATGTACTATATACATTTAAATTAAATCCTTTTTAAATGTTAAATAATTGTTTCGAGAAATTACAAAAAAAAAGGTTCATGTTTAGAAAATTACCGCAACGCTTGTGCATGCCACGATCGTATGCAAAGTAGATTTTTGTGGTCCATTTAATAACAAAAATAAGGCTGTGAAGAAGCATACATTTAATAATTGTTCTTCAATTAATAATTTTGAAGCTTCCTACACGAGATATTTTATTCAAATTTTAATGATATAATAATTTGCATGCATTTACTAATCGTTCGCAATCATAAATTTTCAATACAAATTTAAATTACGCCGCTGCATGCGAGCACTCTTAGATGTTAAAACCCTATAAAAATCATAATTTAAAAGATGCATAAATAAAAAACGTTTCAAGAAATCTGTCATTACCGGCCAGTCTATTATGTGATCGTTAACTATTGAGAGATTTAACAAGTGTTCTTGCAATCGAGTGTATGTGTTCTTAATTTATCCCTGATAAAATGTTGCTCGTCTTTTTTTAAGACATATAATAAGTCTCAATCTAACAGGTCTTCGCATGTGGCAAGACAGGTCTTTTTTTAATTGCACAGTAGTGTTTCTTCTATTCGGTTACCAATGTACCCTTCTTGGCAATGGTTCCATGTTTCTATTTGCACAAATTCAGATGGAAATTTTATTTTTACGGAAAATTAAACAATTTGAGTTAGATATTACTTATTTAAAAGCCTTTGATTAAACAGGAAATATTAATATTCAAGTCCATAAAGAGAAGGTAGGTAACTACTTTGGCAATATTTGAGTTGCACTGATACTTTGACTTCTAAGCCTAGGAATGGCTTCGTCTGCGTATTTGGTCCACTCTTCGTTTATTCTAAATGTATTTCTTTCTTTTAGACATGGAGAAGGTTTACCAGTTGGTATGACAGAAGATCAATTATGGAAAGCCAAAAACTTGTATGATTCTGCATTTCATCCTGACACAGGAGATAAAATGAACATAATAGGAAGAATGTCAGCGCAGGTGCCAATGAATATGATAATCACTGGAGGAATGATTACGTTTTACAGGAGTATACCGGCCGTTGTATTTTGGCAATGGCTGAATCAATCGTTCAACGCTTTAGTGAACTATACCAACAGAAGTGGAGATCTAGCACAAAGCGATACGTAAGTAATACCTAATCCAAAAATAAAATCTCATTTAAGATTTCTTATTTCCACTACTTCTTTAGGAAATACCAAGTTTATTACGTTTACGGTGCCTTATAGTGACTTGGAAAAGGTATAATAGAAACATGTTCAGAAACCGCATGCGTGTTTCAATTATACCTTGTTCAATTCAGTGCAATACCTCCTGTTTTTAATTTTTAGTACCTGTATACGTTCAATTATAACCTAAATATTCTTTTACAGGCAAATACTTACATCTTACATCAGTGCTACAGGAGGTGCAGTAGGAACCGCTTTAGGATTAAATATGTTAACAAAGGTGGGTCAAAAATAGGTAGAACTTAAAATTATAATTAGGTTGCAGGATCGCTTCTCTGTTCTAATATTTCAGAGGACGTGGATTCAATTCACACTTGGAGCGGAATTTTTTCAAATCAGTTTTCTAGTTTTTTTCTGGTTTGTTTTCATCCTTCGGGATTCAGGTATTTATTCCTGAAGTTCCCTTATTTATTATTTATTTCGGCAATCTTAAACCGACAATTCTCTTTAGATAATCTATTTAGTTTATATCTTTAAAAGTTTTTAGCCAATAAAATTATTGTACGTACAATTTTATCTGTGAGCTATGTAATCGAATTAAATTACGGGTTTTGAGCTTACATTAAATTGTAATTAGATGAAACAAAATGTATTCTATGTAGTTTGAGGTGATCTTTTCAAAAAAAAAGGCAAAACAAAATGTAGCTGTTTTTCAAAGTGCCGAAATTTTGGATTTTGTCAATTTTTCAATTTTGCGCAGGCGCATGTCGGAAATAAATCAATATTTTCAAAACGCAGTTCACGACATTTGAAAGCTTAGGAAAAATGCTAATTTTCATGTCTTTTGAGAAATTTTGATCTGATGCACCGTTCTCGCGGTATGGACGATTGAAATTTATTTAGTATTTTGAGGCGGCGAAGTTCGAAAAATTGAATTTGTTAAATGTTCAAACACTAAATTCTTCATAACTTTAGTAAAAATTAAGATATTTAAGAAAACAAAAATGCGTTTTGAACTTAAGGGATGTGACTATTGATTCCCAAAAGGGGGTAAGAGAAATCCCAAAATTGGGCATATGGCGGAAGGGCAAAATGTACCACGGGCCTAATTTCATTGTTTGCCTATAACGGCCAAACTGTTTGAATTTTTTTAATCCCACTTACAGAGATGACTCTTGAATGTAAAATATTATGTGTGTGTAAATTTCACTGAAATCGGACTGTAATTGGTCAAGATATAAAACATTTAAACAAATTTATTTTTCCTAAGTTTGAAGTGGCACAAAAATGCCAAAAATGCACCCAATTTTTTTTTGAGTACTTTATTGTGTCTAGAATACGATTACATTACAAAAAATTCTGCAAAAATATTTTATCTATTTTTTTGACTACTGTTCATTGAGTGAGTGAGTTTCCTAAAATTGACGATTTTCAGTTTTTTGGGCTGAAAATTGAGCAAACCCAAATTTTATGTCTTTTGAATGTATACACAAAGTTTAAAGTGTGTATGTTTCTTCTAAGTTGTAGAATTCTCCCGACAAAAGTCCCATTTGCGATTTCCAGTTTTAAATTTATTAAATTATGTTTTACTGACTTGTTATAAGACGTTTCTTGCATTGTTATAAGACGTTTTGTGCAAAATATAGAGTTACCGCAAAATAAGCCGCATGTCGCATCAAGGATAGCCATGGTCTCGGCGTTCGCTTAGTTTAAACTTCAAACAACGGTCATATTATTACAAATTGAAACGCTTGATAGTGTTCATCGGCATATATTTTTAATAACCGTGTTCAGCAAGCTTTGTGTACACGTGGTTTTTCGGCCTTCTTCAGCAACTTATTGAGTACGTTGCTAAATTAAGAAAATTCACAGTGCTATAATTTTTTTGTTTCCAGGTTGCAATGGCTGGTCTGTGTTTATTATGTCATGAGACACTTGCAGAGGGTGAACTTACCCCAATTAGACCGACAGTTATTTTTTTCAAATATATTTTTTTGTTAGATGTTTTTGGAAAACCCGGAGAAAATCATATGGGAAAAAAATTAAAAAAAAAAACTACGCCTTCTGGTTTCCTGCGAATTCCCGAAAAATTATGGCAAATTTCGCCGCGGGACTTATTTTATTTGAGAGCCAACAAAAAAATACGCAACTTCTCTCATGGGCACATATGTCTAACATTTATAATTTCGCCACAAATTCATCGCAAATTTCATGTCCATGGTTCTGATCAAAGAAACGAAAAAACAACTTTTTGGTAAAAGCACTTCTGGCGGCGAGAAATTCGCCATTTAAATTACCTGTGCAATGAATTACCGAACTATTTTTGCCACCTCTTTCGATTGGTGCATTTATTTTTACTATCGAAATGATACTTGCCCAGATAATTAGCATTTTTACCATGGAAACTTCCGGAAAACCCGGTTTTTCTTAATTTAAAAAAAATTGGAAAACAGCTACATCTTTTTTTGCTTTTTTTCGGAAAGATCACATCAAAATACATAAGGTCCACTTTGTTTCATCTAATTACAAATTAATGTAAGCTCGAAGGGGCTTTTTTCGTTATTTAATTGGACTAATGTTTGTAATATTCTATTTTTTCTTCTGTGTTTTAATGAGATGAGAATAGGTACACTTCGATCTTTTAGTAAACTACCACAGTATGAAGAAAATCAATAAATAAATATCATGTGGCAAATGGAGTTATCCCGATGCAAATGCTATATAACAAAACAAAACTAAAAGAAAAAATATGTTTAACTACTGTAGTTTGTAAAAATAAGTACATACAGAGATATATTCAAGGTGTTTCATTAATAATTTGTCCATTTTATAACTGGACAATCCTTGACTCAGACTAGATCGATTTGACTTAAAACCCATCCCATAAATAACATATTCCTTCTAATTGAGATACATTTGGTCCTGGCAAATTTGTTCCATTGTGGAATAAAATTAGTACCCAAGTGGTCTTGCTTTAAACTTACGTTTTGAGTTAGTACTTCCTCTCTAATTTATTTTTCGTTTAAATGCGTTTCCGGATAATATAGTCGTAACCTAGTCAAATAAATACCACAATTGTCTGAGGGTCTGAAGGGAAAGGAAATCGATCAGACATAGGTGTGCGATTATTATTAAAAATGATTTTCGGCATTTTAGAACGAATTGGTTGTTACAAAAATTATTTTCCTATTTTATTGTTATTAATTAATTATTAATTGTTTATTAATTAATACTGAATATTTCTCCTTTTGTCGGTATTCAAAAAATCAACAACTATTAAAAACAACTTTTTTGTACAAGGTAAACGTCTAATTTGATTGGCCTATAAAATCTCTTTACAACATGAGTCACTATCTACAATTTTGTGATTCTACTTATAGCTAGATTCTTACGAATATCATGTGACCATTCTTTTGAACATGTCAATATATCAGTCCCTATCGTAAGAAATTTCAAACTAGACATTCTTCTATAAAATTATCCAATCAACAATTTGTGTATGATTTATATGATAATAGTAGTTTGTTAATTTTTTTAATACATCAATAATTCCATTCCCGGAGTAAGAATTACAAACTACACTTGTATAGTATAAGGTCACCTATCTAAGATAATTTTGAGTAACATTTTCATTCTTATCAGCTTATAATTAGACATAAAAATGTTTATTTTGTATTTCATAAAAGGTGTTTACATTTGTGAATATTTCAGAATCATTTTATTCGTTTTATGCCGACCACCTTGTTCAGAACGTCCTATAATAATTAGGCATTGTGCTTGTTCTTCACTCTATAAAAATCCCTAGTTTCAGCGTCCATCGGGCATAATAAACAGGAAAGGATCTACATAGATTCGCAGGCATTGTCATACATATGAATCAGTTATAAACCATTAACGAGCCTGTTTTACAGTACATACTGCATAATAAATATGGGAAAGATATGTATAGATCCCGAGGCATTAAATCATATACATGATTGTTATAAACCAGTAACTAGCCTGTATCACAGTGTGGACTAAAACAAACAAAATATTTTGCAATTCATAGAAAGCGCTTACCATTTGTGACGCCATTTTGTTTAATATCCATATGATATTCGGTGTTTTTTAATGCTGCTTCTTTTTATAATTTTGTTTTTAGGTTTCTAATCCTCGTAGGACGTAGACTCCCCCGTTGTAAAAATGACATAAGAGTGTATTTGAGATGGGAAAGACTGGCAGGACCAGTTGTTATTTTGGAACTTTCAAAATACTTTAAAATACGTCGCCGCAGAGCGGGGAAGGGGGGTACTATGATCATTAAGAACAAGGAAATTATGACAATTATGTCATTAAATTTCTACCACTACCGTACGGCTCTGGGAATAGCAAGAAACTATTTTCTAAAATTTAAATAATCCCTAAATTGACTCCAAAAAACTGGCACGTCGTCTTTTTTTGCTTGCTATTTGTAGTTAGGTACAGAGGAGAGTGAAAAATATGTCCCTGTGTGGTGGCAACTGTTGTGTGATCTGTCAAATTCAAAGTAAAATAGTTATCGATTGCTTTTTCTTTTTATTTGCCATGAGATAATATGCATCTAGACGTCATTAACAATAAAACAAATCACTATGCAAGCATTTTCTGTCGTGCGGTTTTGCTACTTCCGGTTTAGAGATTTTGGCCACGTGACCGGATATTTACTTTTTTAACGAAATTCGGGATATAGCTTAAACGCGTTTTTTTGTGTCTGCGAAAAAGTTATGCAAAAAAAATTGCAACTAGGCGAAAAGTGGCCTAATTTTTTAAATAGATGTAAAATCGGAACCAAAGTCGAAAAGTAGTTTAATTTCTCTCAAATTGTTTTTATGGCTCTTAAATAAGAGTATTGCAAGTATTTTTTACCCTATTCAGACTTTTTTATCTTTTGTTTAATTTTTGAAAACCCAGGGGGATTTTTTGCTTATCAACCGAAAAAGTTTGCAATGTAATCTTAGCTTTAGAAGAAAAAAACGCTTTTAAGCTATATCCAAAATTTCATTAAATAGTTAAATATCTAGAAATAACAAAATTGGACGTCAGAAAATGCTTGGAAATGGATTTTTTTATTGACTCCTAAAAATGGTATATATTGCATTGTCAGTAAAAAGGAAAATCCATCTTTACTTTGAATTTGATAGATCACACGACAGCTTCCATCACCGGGACATAGTACATGTATGTTTACCTTCCTCCCATGAACCCAACTACAAGTAGCTAGCAAAAAAGACGATGTGGTACTTTTTTCAGTCAGATAGGGGATTAAAAGTATTCTAGTACGAACAAAAAATATTAAGACACCGTAATAATGGACAAAATTAATTTTTAAATATCTCGCTTAGAAGGAATATTTTATTTAAGTGTTATAGATTAAATCGTTACATTTTCGGTCAAGGATTTTCGAGTTACCATATGGTTAATTATTAATGAATCTTCCTTTATATGATTTCGTAAGGAAAAGGCTGTTCCGAAGAACCCACTGCATTACATTTCTTAAGTCCACACTTCAGTATTAAAAATTCATTTAAGGTCCTTGATTTATAATTCATATTTACTGTTTCTTTTATCATGTTTAAAAGTTTTCATGTGCGTTTGATTTAATAATTTAGATGCACATTTTTGTCAACTTACCTCTGCAGTTACTATGAATTATGTAGGGGAAAGTGTCCTAAGATGACACTTACTCTATATAGGAAACTAGAAGCCGCATCTCTTATTCGGTAACTGTACTAAGTAACAAACACTCTATTAAAATATATAAGTTTACAGATCTCTCAGGTTTATTTAACGGTTTTATTGTGTAGGTTATGTTTCAGTGGCAAGAAAGTTTTGTATGCGTGGATTTTACAATGCTGTTTTTATATCATTCTTCGTGGTATTAAATACTGTGTTGGCATTAATTGTTATATGTGAACAGTGAAAAACTGATTGGTAAGTAGGTTTTTTAATAGCAACTTTAACATTATCAATAATAATCTATATATTGAAAAATGTAACATTGCGTTTAAAATGACATATTGTGGTTGTTGTTAAAATGACATAGTATGTCATTTTATACGACGCACAGTACAATTTCTAGTCTTTTTGGTACAATGGTTTATATTAATTGTAATTCGATCTTTAATTTTTTTTACAGATGACCATGGTTGGAAGGTACGTCAGGAAGACTAATAGACAGTCCTGGGATGAAGCATCTATGCAGCAAGCTATAAAAGATGTACAAGAAAAGAGAATGGGATGGCTAAAAGCATCTAAAGTCTATAACATTCCCCAAGCAACTCTTAGACGAAGAGCTGCTAATAAGAATAAAAGAGTTAAAGGTGTAGAGAAAAGTCTGGGCCGATTTTCAATAACATTTGATTCCCAAACAGAGAAAGAGTTGGTAAAACACCTAAAATATCTTGAATCTAGACTGTTTGGTTTAACCACAACCGAAGTGAGACAATTAGCTCATGAGTTTGCGGAAAAAAATGAACTAGATCATAGATTTAACCGTGAAAAAGGAATCGCAGGAAAAGAGTGGCTCAGAGGATTTCGCAAAAGAAATACCGACATATCTCTACGACGGCCAGAACCCACTTCAGCAGCCAGGGCACGAGCTTTTAACAAGCCTCAAGTTCCCAAATTTTTTGAGGTTTTATATTCTGTTCTACAAGAGAAATCTATCACTGTTGAGAAGATTTACAATATGGATGAAAGTGGACTATCTACTGTCCAGAAACCTCAGAAAATATTGGCATCAACTGGGTGCAAACAATTAGGATCCCTGACAAGCGCAGAAAGAGGCCAGTATGTAACTGTTGTTTAAGTGTAAGGGTTAAAGAAAAGGTCCTTTATTTCTCACAAGTCAATTTAATTGGCGACCGGTTTCGAAGTTGTCACTTCATCATCAGGCACACCTTGACTAATTCCATAAATTATTTTGTACTGATTGAAATGATAATACCCGCGTATTAATATTTTTATTATAAAGGGTTGACGTTACAAAAAATATATCTTGACATGAATTGAATTAAGTCACAAAAATATGAATGCATAGAAACTAAACATTAACGACTATGAAGACTAGTCTTCATACTAACGACTATTTTATTATGCAGTATATAAAATGGTCTATTAAATATATAACAATTGGGGGATAATACCCGCGTCGCCAAATTATTTTGTACTGATTGAAATGATAATACCCGCGTATTAATATTTTTATTATAAAGGGTTGACGTTACAAAAAATATATCTTGACATGAATTGAATTAAGTCACAAAAATATGAATGCATAGAAACTAAACATTAACGACTATGAAGACTAGTCTTCATACTAACGACTATTTTATTATGCAGTATATAAAATGGTCTATTAAATATATAACAAATTGTTATTCATGTTATCCTTTATGGAATTAGTCAAGGTGTGCCTGATGATGAAGTGACAACTTCGAAACCGGTCGCCAATTAAATTGACTTGTGAGAAATAAAGGACCTTTTCTTTAACCCTTACACTTAATCCCTACTACTCACATATGGCTACCCTCACTCCATAACTGTTGTTTGTTGCATATTCCTCCAGCCTTGATATTTTCAAGAAAAAACAAAAAAGATGAACTTTTTGATAAAGTACCTCCTGGAAGTTTAGATTTGTGCCAAGAGTCTGGTTGGATGAACTCAGAACTCTTCGTTTAATGGCTGAAACTTTTTTGCAAACATGCTAATCCCTCTCCGGAGAATAACATACTCCTTCTGCTTGATGGTCATGTAAGCCATACCTCCTTAGCAGCTGTGTCGTTTTGTAGAGAGAGTAACATCATTCTCATGTGCTTCCCAGCTCACTGCACCCACCGTATGCAGCTGCTTGATGTGAGTTTTTTTGGACCCCTAAAGGCCTATTACAATCAGGCTTGTACCACATGGATGAAAAATCATCCAGGTCGTGTTATTACAGCTTACCAAGTAAGTGAACTCTTTTCTAAAGCGTATGGTAAAGCAGCCACAATCCAAAATGCATTGAGCGGATTTGCTAAAACAGGAATCAGTCCATTTAATTCCAACGTTTTTCCCGATTACCTTTTTGTACCAGCGGATACAACTGATATTGCACTAGAAGATACTCAGGCTGAAACACCAAATCCGTTGGGGGAACAGCTTCACGATGACAATCAAACAGAAAAAGAAAATCAACCAGATGTCGTTTCTGTACTTCCAATCAATAGTAATGAAGAAGACAAAACAGTAGTCGCAAAGGTGCCATTTTTAGAAATATCTTCACCTCCAAAAGCAATATACCAATCAAGAAAAAGGAATGTAACAAAAAAATACGCGGTCTTAACATGTTCTCCGAATCTTGAGCAAAGAAAAAATCAAAAATTGACGCACGGAAAATTAAAAAGAAGATTTCCTGTGACAACTCTAAAGAACAAAACATGTCAGAATCACATTGTTCTAAATTACATATGAATTTGCGTGATCAAACTACAAAAAAGAGTCCCAAGGTAATAATTGAAGATGAGACAGATGAAGAAAGTGAACCCTTTCAAGAGACTGATGATGAAGATGATGCGTCTTGCATCTATTACAATGGGTTATTTAGGGCATCAAAATCTAAGGAAACTTGGATCCAGTGTATGCTGTGTCAGTTGTGGGCTCATTTGGAGTTTACAGATTTAACTCCAAAATCAAAGACATTTATTTGTGACTTGTGCAATTAATTTTTACTAATATTTTGATAATATGTCATTTTGGACACTGGGGGTTCAACTAATAACATTTTAGGTCTCTGTTCCATTTATTTTTCATTATATTACGTTTTTCTTTAGGAAATTTAAGGATTATTCATTTTTATTTGCCCTTCTGTGAAAATATTTTCAAAATAAATCAGTACAAAAAAATTATGATTTTTTTTATAAAAAGTATGTCATTATAGGACACCTTTCCCTAATTTCATGTTTCAATATTTCTATGTGTTGTGATAAATATCAATCATTAAGAATGGGTCACAGAATAACTAAGGATTGTCTGATTAAAAATAAAACGATTAAATGAAACATGCATAAATAAAATATTACTAGTTTCCGAAATAACAGGATGTTAAAGTTGAAAATTCAAAAATTATTATTGTCTTATTATGTACAAATAACTTGAAAATCATTTATTAAAAAGAAATATTATTGTATTATATCTAATTTAAATTAGGCGAGCAACAAAACTGTCAAGTTTTCCGCTCGGCGAGCGACAAAGCTGTCACTTTCCGGGAAAACGTCAACTTTGCGGTTGTATTTAGAAGCGCAAAAGCCTATTTTAGTTAGGGATTGTAGAAAAAATATTGTACATCACTTGTATGAAAGTGATTTTTTACACTCGTAATGTAATATACTATTGTATAATATACACAATTCTTTCGTTGAAAATATTTAGAATACCACTATATGGTACATTTTTCATCAATAAAATTATGTAACACTTTGGGCAAGATAATTTGTTTTTTCCAAAGATAAGGTAAATTTTTGAGGTCCAGGGTTTTCATATTCATTCTGTTAAATAAAATTTCTCTCAAATAACCCCTATGTGTATTATAAACCTTATTGATGACATCACGACAACACCGGTGACCTAACATCTTTCACAAGTGTGTTAAGGATTGGACATAAAATAATTACAATAGATCTTAGGGGTTTTTATTATATCATTTATTCCATACATTAGCATCATTCTAAATAAATAACACATTTTTTTTTTTTAGAAAATGCCAAAACTTGTTGGTCGCCTGGTACCTTTCGTAGCAGTAGCTGCAGCAAATTGTATCAACATTCCAATGATGAGAGCACAGTAAGTACTAACTGAGTAGTACAATACTTTTCTAATATCATCATTGTCTCCATTTCAAGTCAACGCCTTCAATATTTCATTAATATTGTTACACAGGTTTTTGGTATCACAATTTATTTCAACTCAACTTTAACAACAATTATACAACTGATAACATTAACATGTAACGTCTATCATAAAACTGAAAACTGACGTCAGGATCATCCTTATATAGCTTCTCGAACCTTATCGAACTGTCATCTAGAATATTCTTGACGGGTAATGACATTTCCAGACATTTCGGGACTATTCCATCTTCTTTTACTTGTACTTTTACTTATAACGACCGCAGCACACAGTACGGTGATGAGTAACATTCCACTTCTTTTTCTATCCGTACGTTTCCTATAATAGCCGCAGGCTACTACAGGGTGCTGCGTAACATTGCTCCCTCCTCTCTAGTTATTCGCCCCGAATAACTTGATTACTGGGACCTAGTTGGAACTAATGGAGAGGATCTGGACCGTGGAATGGAGCTATCTTCCCACGACTGTCGATTTTAGCTTCTGCTTTATCGGTGTGGGCTTTCAGTCGTTCCCGAGCGAATCCATAGACCTTTGTCCTGCCATTGCATACATCACATTTTTGTACCAATCCGCTACATCACGTCGGCAATTGACCGAATAAAATCTTTCCCGAACTCGTGCCAGTGTCCTTTTAGTATCAAAGTGTCCTCCTGAACGGCTGCTATGAAGCTCCTCCAATACATTTCCCACCTGTGACCTCGGCAGTATCACTTGGCGGACTACATGTACCCTACCGGGGCTCTTCCACTTCCGATACAATAGGCCATCGTGAAGATACAGGAAATCACACGGCCCAGTAGCCTTTTATAGTTCTACTGTATTTGGCTATCTCTTGCCAAGTAGGTGTAACTTTATTTTTGAGCCATTCTCGGACAAATTTTGTCATTGTCTTTCTTCTGTCCCTGTCTCAGACTTCCAAGAGTGATTTCTTCTTCGTCGCCCTCTGGCTTGATAGTGGTTGCCCGAAGAGTAACTTTATCAACCGGTTCTTCTCGTTCTTCGAGCCTTTGACCATACCAGCATTGTTCCTCTAAACGGGGTTGTCCGAAGAGAATGTCTGCGTTGTTATGGAGACCTCTTCGATGCTCTACTTTCTGGTTATTGTTAGAAAGCCGGCTCGGTGTGGGTGATTGGCTTCTTCGGGACGCATAGCTGCTGTAATTAATTCTTGTTGGTCTTAGTGATGGGCTTGGAAAGATTGATCTATATGATTTTCCGGTCTCATTCGCTGATTCTCGATTTACAGAATAAGCCATGTTTCTACAGGTTCTTTGAAGGTGTCCGATTCTTCCGCAATTGAAGCATCTCCTGCTTCCATTTTGGCTGTTTCGTTGCATATTTCGTAGGATATTTAAGATTTGGGGAATAGCATTAGTATTGGCCTCCTCACTTTCCTGGGATTTAATTTCCCTCACTTTTGCGCGAGAAGATCTGGATAGGAGTTTTACCGCTTTATATTCCTGGGGTGCAATCAGTTTCTCCCTCAGCGTCTTGTGATGTTGTAGACGAAGGACTTGCTGCATTTCTATATCTTGTAGTCCATCAATGAATGCTTGTATTCCGAATTGTTCTTGGAAATCTTTCAGCACCTGTGGATAGGCCAGATGAATCAATCTTCTTATATCAGCATCGAATTCCTGTAGACTCCCATTATGTTTCTAACTATGAACCTTTAGCTGGCTTTGGAATACCGGTTGCAAATCCTGCTGGCCATATCTTGTCTCCAAAGCTTGGACGAGATATGAAAAACTGGGTTCCTCTTGAGGAAGTAACTGTAAAACGGTTGCTGCCTGACCTCGCAGTGACACTATCAATGAAGCCGCCATCTCTTTCTCGGTCCAGACTTTGGCTCTAGCTGCAGCTTCAAATTGGAGTCGATATGATTCCCATGTTGTCTGACCGTCAAACGTGGGTGGCTTAAGGGTCTTGCTAGTATAGTTTTGTGAAACTGGGATTCGAATGTGGCTTGGTTCGGTTATGGATGAAGACGACGTAGTAGTGTTTGAAGCTTCAATGCTGTTTACTGAAGCTTGGCTGTGAATTCATTTTTCTAACTCAGCCATTTTAGCTCTATTTTGCCTTTCCAGCTCTACTCTAGACTGTTCTAGTTGTTCTAAATTAGCTTCCAAATTCTCTTGCTGTTTCTCTAATAGATCTATTCTAATTTTAAGCTGACTAACCTCTTTCTTGAAGGTTTCGTGGATTTGTAGCAAACCGTTCATAATTTCACCTTAGCTTTTCTACGCCTCTCTTCCTTCTCTTTTTCTTAATTGATCCTGCGTCTTTCCTTCTCCTCTTCTCGCCTTTCCTTTTCTTCTTTCCTACGCCTTTCCTTCTCTTCTTCTCGCCTTTCCTTTTCCTCCTACCGCCTCACTCTCTCCTTCTCTTCTTTCTTTCTACGCCTTTCCTTTTCCTCTTCCATCTTCAAAAACCATGCTGGTGGACCTGAAGTATCCATGTCTGCTTCGTACTCAGTGGATCTTGTATTTACCATGAACTTTTACTTTTTATCCCACCGCCGTCACCAATGTTACACAGGTTTTTGGTATCGCAATTTATTTCAACTCAACTTTAACAACAATTATACAACTGATAACATTAACATGTAACGTCTAACATAAAACTGAAAATTGACGTCAGGATCATCCTTATATAGCTTGCTTGGCCCTTCTCGAACTGTGATCTAGAATATTCTTGACGGGTAATGACATTTCCAGACATTTCGGGACTATTCCATCTTCTTTTACTTGTACTTTTACTTATAACGACCGCAGCACACAGTAGAGCGATGAGTAACATTCCACTTCTTTTTCTATATTTACGTTTCCTATAATAGCCGCAAGCTACTAAAGGGTGCTGCGTAACAATATTGTCTCACTCTTTTGATAGCACTGATGTTACCAAAAATGCAATATAGGAATCTTCTTCGTTCGTTTAGTCTAATATATTCATGTCCCTGTACTGATTTGTTTAACCAAAAGAATCAAATAAAGCTTAGACAAGGAAAGAGAGAGGACGCGTAACAAGTATATCAAGCACTCCTAGTATTCTGTGCCAATTATATTATCAATTGGCGCTAAGCATTTCGGCGACACCAAAGTTTTTGGTATTTATATATTGTACATAATGTCTCACCCCAGAGTAATAAATGTTACCCGCCTAGTTTGTTTATTTTATGCTTTTTATTAATTTTTAAGCAATTATTGATATAAAAATTGCCAAGAAAGTAATTTTTTCAGTGGCGTGTGGTACAATTCTAAATAATAACTTTTATCAAATATTAGTTACTGATGAATCTACTTTCCATAATAAAGGATTTATGAATAGACATCATTTTCATTATTACAGCACCGAAAATGAATATGAATTTCAAACTGTAGATCAACAAAACCGATGGTCTTTAAATGTTTACGATGAAATGATAGAAAAACAATTGGCGAGTAAAGTAAATTTTAAAAAACCGACTTCAAACTCGTGCAGATGCCATCACCACATCTTAATCGAATTTATATGGGACCACCCCTGAGATATCTCCTTACTAAAAAAAATCATAGAAATCGGATAAGAATTATCTCTAAACATACATAAAAAAATGAAGAGTTAGAGGATTTTCTCATGGACCCAATTAATAGATTTTAACAAAATTTATATGGGATCACCTCTGAAGTACCCCTTTTTAACAAAAAAAGAATCATTGAAATCATACACCGTGTTACAAAATTATCACTGAACATACATAAAAAAATATTCCGACGAATTGAGAACCTCCTCCTTTTTTGAAGAATTGTAGATTAAAGTGGGAGTGGGTGATAAAATGTGCTATGTGCCTCTACACACACTTGAGTGGCAACAGGGAGCTGCACTTTGTAACACTTTAATTAAGATCCACATACTTACAGGTTGTGATGTCACAAGTAAGTTTGGAACAAAATCGTATGCTCTACCTGCATCACCAGAAACTCTACTACTTCCATTTACAGAAGAAACACTAAACAAAGCAGATGAATCTTATTATTATTATAATAATAAAAATGTTTTATTGTAATTTAATTATTCAATTATCTACTATTGTAGTAACGATGTTTCTTGTTTTTAGATACCAGATGATTTTGAAAACTGTTCATTTTTTAAATGATGGATGAACCTTTACATATAAGAAAGGGGTAGTACCACACAAATGTCTCCACAGTTCTTGTTATTCACCACACAAGAGCCAGCTCACTGATTCTATTAAAAAAAGGAAAAACAAAAAACAAAACAAATGTTGACTGGAAAATAACCTTCTACTAGAGGCATTTTTCATCTCTAATAAACATACACCGGATCTTCAAGATGCAGCAGCAATTTCTGTCATTGTCCCCTTCGGTTAATTTAAAATGAGCCTATTATTAGTTCGAAGGTGTATATCCTAAAACCCCTTCTGCAAGAATCTGCCTCAAAACCTCCTGAAAGTTTTAAAGATAGTGATTATTATAAAGTTTTACATCTATCATCGAAGTAAAGTGTAACACATACGATGATCTTCGTTATTCTTTACACAAGCAGAAATTCATATCACAGCTACCACTCTTATCTTTTTCAATAATAAATGAATATATCCGAAGATATTTGTTGGTACTACATATCACAAAGCTGGTAGATTATGGATAGTGCAAAGATACTAAAGCCTGATGTGTGCCTTGACAAAATGCTTTCTGAACTATTGATACAGTGCAGTTGTAGAGCATGTACTACTAACAGCTGTAAATGTAAATTGCAATATTTGAAATGCACAAAGTATTGCAAATATGATGAACAATGTAAAATGTAAAAAGTACTTAGTTTTACATTCAGTTTTCCATAACAGAGTTTACTGTTATGTCTATAAAAATAATAAAAATATTAATTAGTTTAAATGTCACTTTTCAAATAATATATTTTATTCCACTTTTCTTTATATTTTTACTTTAAACCCAAAATAACTAATTTCCTTTAAATAGTAGCCAAACAACTTCATAAACTCTCACAATGTACTGCTCCATAGTGTAGAAGTGCCAATACTATAATACTACTACATGCTTGTAGACAAACCTTGTTAATATTTCCCAGCGCCACTTTAGAAATAGCACTATTAATCAGAACTCAACAGTGAATGGTCAAAGTGAGAAATCCTACCTATACATCAGACTTATTTTTAATTAAATATATTATTTAAAACAATCCCGGGAATGATGGGATTCGAACCGCGAACCCTTGGATTCGCAAGTCCAGACTCTACTGAGCCACCTACTCATCTACCTAAAAATGTATTACCTACATACTCATTTTTCACTTTTTCTGTAAACTTTTTTAATTTTTCATCTTCTGTCATATAATTCGCAACCTGGAAAAGGTATTAATTTGAAAATGTTTGGACTGTACCTAATATTATTTATTTTCTTTCAGAGAACTTAAGGAAGGCACACCTGTCTATGACGAAGACAATAATAAATTAGGATACTCCAAAGTAGCAGCTAAGAATGGAATTATTCAAGTGACATGTAGTCGTATTTTTATGGCACTGCCAGGAATGGGTAAAGTTATTTTCTAACTTATAAATTTTGCTAAATTTAAATTTTCTAATTGATTATTTTATCACCAGTTCCACCAAACTTGTCTCAAAATTTTCAATCTTAAAATTTGAGAACATAAGAAAGTTGCCAGAGTACCTACTAAAACAGTAAAATATTGAAAAAGAAGAAGCCATTATAACTTCATGTACGTATCATGGAACCTAGTGCAACCTATGTGTGAAGAGATTTACTTATAATTTGTCTGGGTGAAACTCTTTTACTGACCAAATGCCAGCTTTTTTCTTTAACATCCTATAATATACACTTACTTATTGGTGTTAAATAGACATTTCTTTTCCAACTCTGAATAAGATTTTGTTTTTAGTTGTCACACCCATTGTGATGAATTCTCTGGAGAAGAAAGGATTGTTACGTAGACATCCATGGATGGTATTGCCTACTTCTTTGGGAGCGTTGGGTTTATGTTTGACCTTTGCAACTCCTCTGGCATGCGCCTTTTTCAAGCAAAAAGCTTCCATCTCTTTTGATCAGTTGGAACCTGAATTAAAAGTAAGTAATTTCACATATTTTAAAGAGTGTATCCAAAAGACTGGGACATAGCTTGACTGTAGAAATCTGGGATAAAAATAAGATGATTTAACCCAACTTGTCCATATCCAACGACGAACAACTACTAGACTAATCGTTTACAAAAATTGAATTGTAAAATGTAAATATTTAATAAATCGTAATACTTTTTTCCATTATTAATAGATTTTTCTTAAAATACGCCACTGCATAGTTTGGATAGTGACAGTAGAACAAAATTAACAAGTATTAGAAATTAAAAATTTAAAAAACTGACTTCAAAAACGAGCAGATTCCATCACCAGATCTTAACCAAATTGATATGGGACCATCCATGAGGTACCCCCTTACTATCCAAAAAAGAATCATACAAATCGGACAAGGTGGTGAAGCATTATCGCTAAACATACATAAAAATGAAGAGTTTGAGGATTTTCTCATGGACCCAATTAATATATTTCGACAAAGTTTATATAGGACCACCCCTAAAGGGCCCCCTTTCTAACAAAAAAAAAGAATCATTGAAATCGAACACTGTGTTAAAGAATTATCGCTGAACATACATAAACAAAAATATTGCGACGAATTGAGAACCTCCTCCTTTTTTGAAGTCGGTTAAAAATAGAAATTATAACTGATTTAGTTTACTATTTTTGTTTATTTTTTACAGGAAAGCATCAAAAAGCAGTCCAAAAAAATCCCAACCGAAGTGTTCTTTAACAAAGGATTATAGAGAGGAATCCTTTGTACGGAACATATTTATGAATAGTCTTTCCATTAGAAATGTTAAGTAGGTATTCTGACAGAGATGCAACTTTTAACTGTCTATGTATGGCATCTGAATAACATATCTAATATCATGCAACTCCTTCCATAAAAGATACTTTATTCTAATGGACGAACTATAGACCTTTTTAATCAATGAAGAAATATATTTAACTGAAAACTTATTTTTATTCGGCTGTTAAATTTATTTATATTGACAATAATGGCTTCTAGTTATTGTACCTCATGATTGATTGACTTTGTTACTGTTTAGTTATAAATAAATGAAAAATATTGAGTGTTTTGTTTTATTGTCTTTGTTCCTCGCACACATGATAACAATATCTTATATCTTAATTGTTTTAATATAAAGGAAGATAACACCCCTATCGGACCATGATCGAACCCCAGTTAATTTTGTTTATAACAGGATATAAATTGATTATTTAGCAACAAACAGTCTCATCATAATAATGGGTGGATTTTCCCGGGTTTTCCTCACCTATAAGTTAAATGGCTCCATCAATCATATGTAAGTCGCCCCGAAGTGCCACGGCAAATAATGGCCGTGTTCATCCTTTTAAAATTAGAGAACCACGTTTCATAAGCGGTTGATGTGACGCTGAACGATCATTTTTTTTGCGATTTGTTTTCTATATATATGTAAACTTGTTTTCCTTAATATTTTTTAATAGGTTTTGAGTTGAATTGATTTGTAGAGTTAATTAGAGTTTATATAGTTAGTGGTTTTGACAATTTTACGGCCAAAAAACCGACAACTTGTGGTTCTAAAGTCTTGATGTTTAATTTTTTTATTGTTCCCCTGGATCTTCAGTTCCAGATACTAATGAATCAAAGAGTTTGTAGCAGTCATTATATTATAGGTAAACTAAATTTTTTTGACATACACGAATAAGAACCTACTGTAACTAGATCATATTTTAAAGAGCGGAATGAGAATTCTACTTATTGTGTTTCATCAACTGTCTGATCTGCACTGATGAATTAAAATAAAGCAACTCATGCTCATCAAAGTGATCTTTTTACATGTAACAAGGATAAACAATAATAGAGACAAGTAGGACTTTCTTATTTTTAGGAAAACCGAGCTCCTTCGAAGTTAGTAATGATTTAAACTGAAATCCAGCCCAGAACATGAGTCATTTGTCTCAAAGCAGTTCAAAAATAAAGTGTGATATTCTCAGAAAAAATTTAGTCCAAAAAAAAAAAGGAAGAGATAAAAATGAAAATCAACCTGAAGTAAACTTTTATTTTTGAGTCATATCTAACATGACCATTCGCGACACCTATTTTCAAGTTATGTGTACCATTGTCCCCAAAGAACGCAAGAATGCCGCTTTCAAAAAAAAGGTGATGTGATGCAAAGCATTCTATCCTCATACGAATATGGGCTAGTGAAAAAAACTTAATTTGAAGCATCAGTGTTGCAAGCCAAGCATAACATAAACAAGTCACGTCAACAGTTCCATTTCTATTTAAAGGCCAAAGTATAGAAAACCAGTCCACTAGACAAGTTCTACTTCGTTTTTCTAATTTTTAATAAACATAAAACATAGTATTTCTCTTATTTTTAATATATTTTTTTACTTTCCTATCTGTATACAGATAGGAATCATGATTTTTTCGACCTCTAGTTTTCGACGGATTTTTACGTTTTGGGGTCCCATGAATCCGTTTTGACAATTTTCGCGATGATGTCTGCGTGTGTGCGCAGTGACGTAGCCAGCCATTTTTCATGGAAGGGGTTTTTGAGAACTATGGGGGGTTCCTTCAAGAAAGTGAATAAAAGAAACAGTCAATAGCGATTAATGGCAATACTATAGAGGAAGTGGTGACGCCAGGACCCTCAAGGGTGTGTGTGTGTGTGTGTGTGTGTGTGTGTGTGTGTGTGTGTGTGTGTGTGTGTGTGTGTGTGTGTGTGTGTGTGTGTGTGTGTGTGTGTGTGTGTGTGTGTGTGTGTGTGTGTGTGTGTGTGTGTGTGTGTGTGTGTGTGTGTGTGTGTGTGTGTGTGTGTGTGTGTGTGTGTGTGTGTGTGTGTGTGTGTGTGTGTGTGTGTGTGTGTGTGTGTGTGTGTGTGTGTGTGTGTGTGTGTGTGTGTGTGTGTGTGTGTGTGTGTGTGTGTGTGTGTGTGTGTGTGTGTGTGTGTGTGTGTGTGTGTGTGTGTGTGTGTGTGTGTGTGTGTGTGTGTGTGTGTGTGTGTGTGTGTGTGTGTGTGTGTGTGTGTGTGTGTGTGTGTGTGTGTGTGTGTGTGTGTGTGTGTGTGTGTGTGTGTGTGTGTGTGTGTGTGTGTGTGTGTGTGTGTGTGTGTGTGTGTGTGTGTGTGTGTGTGTGTGTGTGTGTGTGTGTGTGTGTGTGTGTGTGTGTGTGTGTGTGTGTGTGTGTGTGTGTGTGTGTGTGTGTGTGTGTGTGTGTGTGTGTGTGTGTGTGTGTGTGTGTGTGTGTGTGTGTGTGTGTGTGTGTGTGTGTGTGTGTGTGTGTGTGTGTGTGTGTGTGTGTGTGTGTGTGTGTGTGTGTGTGTGTGTGTGTGTGTGTGTGTGTGTGTGTGTGTGTGTGTGTGTGTGTGTGTGTGTGTGTGTGTGTGTGTGTGTGTGTGTGTGTGTGTGTGTGTGTGTGTGTGTGTGTGTGTGTGTGTGTGTGTGTGTGTGTGTGTGTGTGTGTGTGTGTGTGTGTGTGTGTGTGTGTGTGTGTGTGTGTGTGTGTGTGTGTGTGTGTGTGTGTGTGTGTGTGTGTGTGTGTGTGTGTGTGTGTGTGTGTGTGTGTGTGTGTGTGTGTGTGTGTGTGTGTGTGTGTGTGTGTGTGTGTGTGTGTGTGTGTGTGTGTGTGTGTGTGTGTGTGTGTGTGTGTGTGTGTGTGTGTGTGTGTGTGTGTGTGTGTGTGTGTGTGTGTGTGTGTGTGTGTGTGTGTGTGTGTGTGTGTGTGTGTGTGTGTGTGTGTGTGTGTGTGTGTGTGTGTGTGTGTGTGTGTGTGTGTGTGTGTGTGTGTCCAGAGAGCACAAATAGGTCCATTCGATATACAATTTTGGATGTCTCAAATGATTTTAATTAAAAGTTTAAATTCTTCCTAAAATTTTCCGTTGTTTTTGGACTTTGTGATTCCTCAAGGGCTGTTTTGTAGAGCGAACCACTAACTATGGCGGCGGCATCAGTTTTTCCGTTTTACTCCTGAAAGACCAGGTAATACTGGCAATGGATGTATATCAGCTGGTTTTGCCAAATTAATTTGCTTTTCTTTATTAGCAATAGGAACTAAAGGTTCTGTATTTGGTTTATTACAAATAATATTTTGTAAAACAACAATTTTTGGTTCAGGTTTTTGAGCAATGGGTCATTGCTTCGATAATATCATTTAGGGTCCATTTTCTGGGTTAATATTTTCAACAGCAGTTTCCAATTTCTCATGAATGGAAAAATCATGGTCCCGGAAAATATTCCTATTAAAAGGCATAATGCCACATTTTCTAAATCCGTTTATGGAAATTTCCATCGATGCAGTTCTTGAATATGCTTTTCCTAACAAAGCTGCAATCTGGTAGGGTGAAACTGCTCTTCATGGGTTAGCATTTAACCAGTTTTCAATTTCTTGACAATAATACGTTTTAAAAGGTCCCATAAATGACACATCCAATAGTTAAACCTTGTGGGTCGAATGTGGAGGTAGGCATATCAATATTATGTGATTTTCCCGAGCCTTGTTAATTACTTCAAAATTTCGCATGTATGTATAGTGCCCATCCATTACTAAAATAACAGGATCATCATGGGATGGCTTGGCATGCGTAATAAAATGATCCATCCATTGCGTAAATAAATATGACTGCACCAGCCAGAAGGATGACATTTTCCAATTAATCCTGGATACGTTCCATCCTAAATCCATAAGCTCTACTTTAAAATTTTTTCGTGGCAAAATCATCATTGGGGGTATAAAATGTCCATTAGCATTCATGCAGAAAACAACAGTGACCAGCCCACCTCGTTCTGATATTGTCAATGCTCCTACTTGTTTCTTTCCTTTTAGGCTAATTACTTTGGTATGATTGTGTTGGACTGCAGTTATCTCCGTTTCCTCAACATTATACATTTTACTTGAGTTAAACTTAATTTTGTCTAATTGTGGTTCCAAAATATCATAGAATTTAAGCAGATTTTCTTTAGTAAATCCTTTTATTCTAGCTGCGGATACACCTTGAGGAGTTCTAAAATAAATATTTTTGTTTCGTCTCAAAAAATTCCTTAGTCATTTTTTTCCCATCGGTAGCTTTTTTTTTAAATGGATGTGGCAAATTATTAGCTAGAGCCAACTGATAAGCCAAACAACGAACGTCGGACGATGTTAAACTATAGAACCTTTTCTCTAATTCCAGACAATGTATTACCAACTCATTTTTCAATACTTCAGGTAGCATTGGCTTACGACCAAGAGTCGATTTTTCTAAATGTTCTAGGGTTTTTCAAATTTACAGTAATACTCCAAGGTAGATTTCGGAACATTGTACGCCTTGGCAGCTTTAAAATATCTCTTCTCTTTATTTATTACTGTTTGAATAGCACTAGTCATATTTGCTTTATCCCATTGTTTTTTTTTTTGTAAACAATATATTATTGTAGTTGACCTCAAAGCATTGCCTAATATTAGATATCCAATATTGGGGACCTGTAGCTATCCAATATTAGGCACATCATAAAAAAATTTTGTTTATAATTATTTTAGACAAAAAAAAAATAAGATTTTATTAATAAAAACTCTAGTAAAATTTACTCTATAACATGCACTAGCTATCCCGTTTGTAAATATGTATTTAAAATGTTTACCTTTTAACTGATAATTCAGCACTTAATATAGGGAGCAAATAGTTTTCAGATTAATGTCTTTTATGTCAACATAGTTTATTATAGTACCCTGCAAAATTATGGGACGGGTTTTAAGGTGTAACGCAGCTCCTGGTTAATAGATGGAAGCACATATACAGTTTCATTTTCAAAATAAGTAGGTATCCAATATTAGGCATTATCCCAATATTAGGCGCATTTCCTTTACTATTAAAGGTATAACTGCGGTAGTAATAAAAATTACTGATTTAGTAAGAAAAGTTTACTGTGATGGTAATACGATCAATAGTAATTCTATTTCTAACTAGAGTGGTAAAAAAATATTACTGCCACGGTAAGAATTTGGAC